AGATTTAATAAAAATGAATTATATGCACATATAAATTTCCCAAATAATAGAATCATCATATTTGTTCCTTGCCTTTTCTTTTTTTTTTGAAGCTTTTAATTTTTTTTTAATTAAGAATTAGAAACTTGTATACTCTTCTTAAAACAGTTTCAGTAAGCTCTCTAGGATTGTGTTGTTTCTCCTAAATTACCTAACCTGGTGCCATATAATTATTTTCATTTCTGCATAGCTGTAGAAATGTTCTAACTTTTTTTCTAGTTTTAGTAAGTATAGTCTTGTCTTAGTCCATTTTCTCTATAAGCAAGTTGCTGTAAGTATCCCAAACTAGGTAATTCACAGAGAACAGAGGTTTATTCATATCAGTTCTGTAGGTTGAGGGTACAAGGGAATAGCACTTGAATCTGTGTAGCACCTTACATAGCACAGTGGAAGAAATCACAAGGCAGGATGAAGCAAGTGCATGAGCTCACGTCTTTCCTTCTTAAAAAGTCACTGATGTAGTCATGAGAACTGTCCTCCAGACACCATCTATGTAACATGCTTTTATCTAATATTGTCGTGGACTTAAGGAATGTTTTACCTATTTGTTTTTCTGTAAGTGGTTTTATGCCTGCATGTGAATCTGTGCATCACACACATCCCTAGTGGCTGTGGAGGCCAAACAAGGGAGTCAGATCCCCTGGGACTAGAGTTATGGACAACTGTGAGTCATCATGTGGGTGCTGGGAACCAAGCTGAGTCCTCTGGAAGAGCAGCCAGTGCTCTCAACCATAGAACCATCTCTATTATCTCTCACTTTTTTTTCCTGTTAAAATTGGCTACATAGATTCTGGAAGCTGTTTTCTGTACATTGAACTGTTTATATTTTCCAGATGGGCTAACCATTTTATCATAAAATATCCTTCAGTAGCATTTTTTTTTGTTTTTGTTGTACAGTTTGTTTTGTCTGGTAGGTAGCTTTTCTAACATCTTTACAGTTACTATTTAGATAATATACTTTGTTCTCCTTTTTAAGTTTTTAAAAACATTTGGTGCAGGGGCCATACATGTGAAATATGGGTGCCAGGGGTTGAAACTGGGTCATTTGGCTTTGTGACAAATGCCTTCACCAGCCCCCCGTGTCTTCCAATATCAACCTGTTTGTATTGCTGAACATATCACTTGTTTATGTCTAAAGATACTTTAAGGAGGGGAATCAATGCTAATGGCCTGAGGTAGAGAGGCCAAGGAGGCTGCCAAACAAGCTATGGTATACAAAACTCTGCTCAACATGTTCAACAAAGAAATATCTGACCTCAAATGGCAATAGTGTCAAGGTTAAGAAGCCCTGTTTAAAGAATGCCAAGGACAGAGAAAAGAATCTAAAACATCCACAAAAGTTATGTCTAAGTGAGGTCCTTTGGCATCAATTAAGATTATTCTTAACCCTATACCCCTTTCTGTAATTTGGAAATTATTTCCGAATAAGTTTTTTTAACCCATGTTAAAGTATATTGTGATGATTACTTTTATCATATATTAAACTGTTGTGTATTATAGTGGACCTATTTGAGGGGGGCTCTCTGTTCTATTTAAAAATATAAACTGATTTTCTGTCCAGTGCCATGTTCTTTTATCATACACATATATACTTTGCCATCTTTGCTTTTTTTTCCAATTTAATTTGATTTGCTTATTATTATTTTATTTTATTTTTCAGAATGTTCCATTGCTTAAAGCATACACATAGTTCTGTGTTTGAAGCCTAAGACCACAGCAGGGACAAGTCCTATACTTCACTGGGTGAATAACACTTCTTGTGAGTAGTGGGTCACTTAAATTATAAAATGGCATGAGAGTTGACATACATGTCAAATGTGCCATGTTCAAAGACCATGGAAACAAATGGGGAAAGCAGAGGAGTGATTCCAAGCATAAGCACCATTCCTGCCTTCCCAGACTTTCTGGGGCACCCAAAACACAAAGTGACATTAATATCCAGCATATGTTTCTAGGGAAAAAGGGAGAGGGGAAGAGAAAAGAAGGGAAAGTGGGGGGACTGGGAGAGGAGAGGGAAGGGGCACCCTCGGGATGTAAAGTAAATGGACTAATATAAAGTTTAAAATAAAGTTATCACATTGGTCTCTACAAGGATTGGGGTCTGTCTGGAATAAAACTGCAGCCAATATACTCATGAAATAAAACAGCTTATTCCTCTTCTCTCCTAGACTATTTATTAATATTGTCTTCAAAGGTAAACAGAACCTCAATATCTTTGTAGTCATAAAGATCTCATAAAAACAAAACAAAACAAAACATTTTTCTCCTCAAGATCCAGCCACACCACTCCTAGGCATATATCCAAAAGAGGCTCAAGTACACAATAAGGACATTTGCTCAACCATGTTTGTAGCAGCTTTATTTGTAAAAGCCAGAAGCTGGAAACAACCCAGATGCCCCTCAACTGAAGAATGGATACAGAAATTGTGGTACATCTACACAATGGAATACTACTCAGCAATTAAAAACAAGGAAATAATGAAATTTGCAGGTAAATGGTGGGATCTGGAAAGGATCATCCTGAGTGAGCTATCCCAGAAGCAGAAAGACACACACGGTATATACTCACTCATATAGACATATAATATAGTATAAACCTACTAAAATCTGTACACCTAAAGAAACTAATCAAGAGGGAGGACTCTGGCTAAAATGCTCAATCCCCACTCCAAAAGGCAAAGAGGATGGACACCAGAAGAAGAAGAAAACAGGAAACAAGTTAAGAGCCTCCCACAGAGGGCCTCTGAAAGGCTCTGCCCTGCAGACTATCAAGCAGATGTTGAGACTTATGGCCAAACTTTGGGCAGAATGCAGGGAATCTTATGAAAGAAGTGGGAAATAATAGTATGAGCTGGAGAGGACAGGAGGTCCACAAGGAGAGCAACAGAACCAAAAAATTTGAGCACAGGGGTCTTTCCAGAGACTCATACTCCAAACAAGTACCATGCATGGTGATAACCTAGAACCCCTGCACAGATGTAGCCCATGGCAGTTCAGTGTCCAAGTGGGTTCCATAGTAATGGAACAGGGACTGCTTCTCACATGAACTGATTGGCCTGTTCTTTGATCACCTCCCCCTGAGGGGGGAGCAGCCTTACCAGGCCACAGAGGAAGACAATGCAGCCACTTCTGATGAGACCTAACAGACTAGGATAAGAAGGAAGAAAAAGAAACCCTCCCCTACCAGTGGACTTGGGGAGGGGAGTGTGTGGAGAAGGGGAGGAACGGAGGGATTGGGAGGGGAGGAGGGAGGGAACTAGAGGGGGGATACAAAGTAACTAAAGTATAATTAAAAATAAAAAATAAATAAAAAAAAAACATTTTTTTAGCAAGCCACATGTTTGGATGGGGTTTGTTCCTACAGATACTAATGTTGAAATTTGGCTTGCAATTTTAAAAGGTGATCACATTCTAAAGAGATTACTGCACTGGGCAGGGGTGGTGAACATCTTTAATTGTGGCACTTGGGAAGCAGAGGCAGGCAGATATCTAAGTTAGAGGCCAGCCTGGTCTACAGGGCTACACAGAGAAACGAAGAAAAAGAAAAAGAAGAACAGGAGGAGGAGAGAGAAAAAGAGAGAGAACAAGAGAGCAAGAGAGAGAGAACGAGAGAGAGAGAGAGAGAGAGAATATGTAGCTCTCACAGGACTAAATTTGTTGCCACCAAATCAACTGTTGTAACGTGGGAGTTCCCTCTGGGTTGCCCACTTCGCTTTTTGCCAAGGAATGAAGTAGTCTGCAAGCCTCACAAATGGGGTTGCCTGGGTCTGGAGAGACAGAGCTCAGTAGGTAAGAGCATATGTGGTTTGCCTAGAGACCACAAGTTCAGTTCCCAGCCCTGACTTAGTCTAGCTCCAGGGGATTCAACATCCTCTTCTGAACTTCCAGAGCACCTGTACATACATGTACACATAGCCACATACAGACCACACATATACACATAACTAAAAATAAAAATAATTGTTTCAAAAATATAAGTAAAATAAAAACAAACAAATCTTTATCCAGATGTGGTGCTATACAACTTTAATCTTAGCAGTTGAGAGACAGAAACAGGTAGACCTGTAAATTCAAGAACAGCCTGGTCTACAAAACGAGTTTCAGGACAGCCAGGGCTACATACTCAAAAGATTAAAAAGAAAGAAAGAAAAATGGGCTGTCCAAATTGTACTTTGTAGCTTCTGGAACTACAAACCAAAATTAAAACCTTGTTTATTTAAAAAAAAAAATGAGCCATTCCCATCACTTTGTTACAGCAAGAGACAATGATCTAGTCATCAACTTAATAGAAAGGGTGATCTTTGACAGCTGTCACTCTTTAAATCTTTATTTATGTGCACATCTGGGTAATTGGAGAATAAGCCTGGTCATATTCCTAGTCCAGGAGACCTGGTTCCTTATCACAGGCAGGTATTTCAAACCATGAAACTCCAACTTGAGAGTGTGTAAGATCCCAGTTGGATCATCCCTAACACAGTCAAACGAAAAGCTCACCCAGAGTATCTATATGCTGGACTGTATGATAACAAACCCTCTTCAACATGCATTGATGCCCAAATGTCATATACCCTGCTTCAGTAGCTTGCTGGAATAAGGTGGGAGAATGCCTGTCTAGCACAGGATGCTAAGCACCCACATAAAATACAAACTGACATTACACACCAAGGTCTCTAAGAATAACATGCCATGATATTAGGAAGACTCTAGGTTCTAAGAAGTTTCCCAGAGCAAAGCCCTGGGGAGTAAACAGTGGCAGACTCAATAAGTATGAATAAACTAGGATACAAAATATAATGAAGTGAGTCCTAAGAGAAGTATTAGTAATGGAAATATGAACTCTAAGTACAAAAGACCTATCTTCATCAACAATTTTATTTTTAAAACAGAAACATTTATAATGGAAGGGTTTTTTTCCTATGTAAATTGAATATTAAATATCAAAACAGAATGTCAGTTCTCACCCAAATGGTACTCCAAGGGCACCCAAAGGAGTCACCAGGACTGTAGGGACCGCAGTGTAAGCTAGGAAGTTTCCAATCTGGCCAACAGCCACTGTCAAAGAGAATCACAAGGATAGCAACTTGCCATTACCAGCCACCCTTTTTATCACCAATCAACATTTTACAAGACTGTTCTGAAAAGGCTTCTTTTACACCATTTCTGAGGAAGCAAATCTACACGTTCACAGATCCCAGTGGCTGAAGTTCACTGGTCTGGGGAGTAGTCTCAACTCTCATATTGTGATGTGACCAGCATTATCACAATAAGAAGTGCAACACTGAATATATTTTTTATTGTTTTATAGTGCCAACACTCAAAGTAGTTTATTCTACTTTGAGTTTCAGTATTTGTACACACTACAGTAGTGCACCAAGGCTCCCTACTGCTTTTGACTACAACTTCATATCCAGTGACCAATCTTGCCTCAACAAGTCGGGCAGAGCTTCCCAACTGCCTTCACGTGACCTCAGACCCGCTCTAGTGGAGAAGCTGGCCAGAGCTGGGTTGCACAGGACTCCTGGGTGCACCACTCAAACACAGCTTAAAAGGGAGTTCCCAATGAGCACAATTAGCCTCAGCTAGGTAGCATTTTGTTTAAAAGGCAATATATGACAAACCATGTAACTTAAAAAAAAAAGGTTGATTTTTTTTTTAAGTTATAGCATGTGATCTTTGATCTGTTCTTTGAGTCAAGAATCTTCTTTGTTACATCAAGTGTGCTCAGAAAACAAGTCAGCCTGAACAACCGAAAGCGACAGCGCTGTGACAAAAGAATTTGAAACTGCTTGACTTCTCCACACCCAGTGTGACACCCAGCAAGGAGCCTATGCCTCCTTCTCCCAGGTCATCATTCCATATTTTCTCATCTACTTTCTTCCAACAAAGGGGAGGACAACAGGAAGAGAGAGTGAATGTGGAGTGCAGAGAGTGGGATGTATGGGAGACCTTCAAAGCCCTCTCCACCCCTGCCCAGGTGAATAGCTTTACAAAGAAATAAAAAGACCAGAATCTTGACTCTAGAGGCTACTTACTTGCAATTGTGCCAGCCCACCATACAATGTCTGTTAAGTAGGAAGTACCTATAAAAAAGAAATGAGAGGAATATCAGGAAAGCAGGTTTATTTAGTGGTGTGTGTGTGTGTGTGTGTGTGTGTGTGTGTGTGTGTGTGTATGTGTGTGTGTGTTATACGTACATGTCTGTAGGGGTATGCAGTATGCACAGCTGTGCACACACGTGTGCAGAAGCCAGAAAGGGAATCAAGTATCCACTTCTATTGTTCTCTTATTTGCCTTATTTCTTTGAAAGGGGGTCTCTCCCCAAACCTGGAATTCAAGTTTTGGTTTTTTTGTCCTGCTCTGGAGTTATAGATACTCATGAAGCCATTTCCAGATTTCTGCATGGATGCTAGGATATGAACTCAGAGCCTCAATAATTATACAACAAATATTCTTACCAACTGAGCATCTTCCCAGCCTTATGTAGTAGATTTATTTACCATATATGGGTGCTGGAGAGATGGCTCAGAAATTAAGAGCACTTACTACTCCTGCAGAAGACACAAATTCAATTCCTAGCATCCATATCAGGCAGCTGACAACTGTCTGTAACTCAAGCTCCACCCTCCGAAGACATGTGTACAAGCTATATTATTCCCCCTACATGTATAATTTAAAATTTTTTAATATTTTTAAAAGCTCTACATGTCAACAAGTAAGAGATTTACAATGACACTTAAGAGAAACCTTCACATAAAAACTAAATTAAAGAAAAGTGTGTTATCTTGCTTATCCAGATCATAAGTTATCTTTAGTCTAGCAATGAGAAGTCACTAAAAATAGTAAAGTTGGGTTTGGGCAGGTTATTTGTTTTTTTTGGTTTTTTTTTCTCAACTGACACAGGCTGACCCAAAAGACAAATAACTTGCTCATAGATTTGTTTTCTTTGGCTAAATGAGCCACTATCTAAAACATAAATATTCTTGGGAGTCCCTACTATTCTCCTGCCTCACAGGGTTTTTTAATTTTTAATTGTATTTATTATTGCTATGTATATGTAGGGTTATTTTTACCTTACACCCAATCTTAAGGTGATTGTAAGGTCCAGAGGAAACACCATTTCCCCAAATTCTGGCAATTAGACAAAAGCCAGCATTCCTCAGGAACTCTGAAGCCAGTTCCCCTCTACCAAAATGGACCATTTCCCTTATGACTGGCAGAAGGGCAAATGGCTGTCTGTGGTGTTTATAACAAAGTACATGCTGGCCTCCAGGCTCCCTCAGTATCATGAGTACCTGTTACACATTTCAGGGTCCATGAGCATATTCTCTTCTCCTCCCCTGCCCTAAACTCCCCCAGCTCCTGCCCCTCCCCCACTATTCATTCTCCTTATAACCCTGCTCTTTTGGCTATGTTCCCTTTTTGGCCTGTGCTGTCTTCCTCTCTCAGTCTCCCTCACTCCCACTCTCCCTCTCTGCTCTTCTTCTACCTCTCTTCTGACCAGTCTTCTGGCCATATTAAGTCTACTTCTCTCTTTCTCTGCTCTGGGCTCTTCCACATGCCTCTGGCTATTCTCCCCCTCATATCTACAATAAAAGCTTTACCCCAAACCACACCATTGAGTGGTCATGTTGTCAGTTTATACAGTGATGTCTGGGGAATTATCTCCGTAACTTTAGGTTCATGTGTTGCCTACAGTAAATGGTCTGGTATATTTCAGAAAGGTAGCCTACAACACAGCAAAAATAAATAAGGTCTAATGGTAGGGAAGTAGCGAGTAAGGTTAGTTAGGCGTCACTACACGGTGTCAGCAAGAGCAAGCAGGTGTTGGGAACCTGCAGGGCCCTGAGCAAGGAGAAAATGCATGCGTGTGTGTGTGTGTGTGTGTGTGTGTGTGTGTGTATTTAGAGGTGAGTAGATAACTTCTGGAAGACAGTGTCTTCTCCAACCGTAAGTTCCACTGATTAAACTCAGGTCGTTAGGCTTGCACTCAGTGTGCAACAATGATTGAATGACTCAGCATGAGCACTCCATGAGGACTGCTCAAGTTGGAGCAAATGCATCTTGCATGACGAAATGGCCAAGGATGGAATGCTCTGGTTTGAATATGAAATGTCCCCCAAAAGATCACGTGTTTGGACATATGGTCCAAGCTTTTAGTGCTGTTGGGAAGGTTATGAAACTTGAAGTAGATGCCTGCTGGAGGAAGTGTGTCACCAGCTGTGTCTTGATGTGAGATAGCCTGGCTCTCTGCTTCCTGGCTGCAGACACAAAGTGACCAGCTACCTCATGCACCTGCAGCCATGTCTTTTGTTACATAAAGGATGGATTCCTTCTTAACCTGTAGGGCTTATGAAATAATCTTTCCATTGAGTTGTTTCTTGAGAGGAATTTGGTGACATCAAGTAGCAAAGCAGCTAACAGCAAGGATCACTCACAGTACAACTGTTGCCCACAGCAAGAATCCTGTGAATTAACAAGAAGCATGACTGAGGTTAGAGAAACAGATCCCAGAGGCACCAGGACAAACACGTGAAAGCAGCCAAGATTAAGGAAAAACTGGAAATGTTCTCAAACACTGGGTACATACGTGATAAAACCACATTGTCAGAAAGAATGCACAATATGTAAGTGGCCCATAATGGTAACAGGGGCCCAACCTTATCTCTTCTGGAACCTGGACCTCATCCAGCTGTGTCTCATTTTTAAAGTTCATTTGTTTCTCTCATCTAATTAACCATCACTTTTCCCATTCCATGTGTCTTTGTCCAAATCACTGTTTGCAGACACAGAACCTGGCAATTTCAGCAGGTGTGCTCTAAACTCAGATGTGCACCTGTAACTGCTGTCAATTAGCCAGCCAATAGGGAAGCAGGAAAGGCTTTTGAATGCTCTCATCCCTAACCACAACACTATTCTCTTCTTCCTCAAATACTTGGAGACGATGGGAAAGTTCCCGTGGAATGCCTGATCAAAGCCTAGGGAATCCAGATTCAAACTCTCTTTTCTCATCTTTCCTTTTACTGGTGCCCAAGTTTGACTCCTATTGCAAAGAAAACCAACATGCAAAAAAAAAAAAAAAGCTTATTTGGCTTACATTTTCCAATCACACACAGTTCATCTTTGAGAAAAGTCAAAGCAGAAACTCAGACAGGAGCCATGGAGTAACAGTGCGTACTGGCTTAGTCTTTATGGCTTACTCACCCTGCTCTTATACAACTCAGGACCATTTGTCCAGGGATGGTCCCCCACCCCCACGATGGACCGGGACATCCCACATTAATCATTAATCGAGAAAATGTTCCACAGATTTCCTTACAGGCCAATCTGATGGAAGCATTTTCTAAAATTAAACTGATAAATGGTTATCTGGGAGAGTCCACCTTTAAAGCAGAAGTTCACAGGAACCCACATGGACCCCAGACAATCTATAAGACACCCTCCCAAGGACTTCTGCACACATGCAGCTGCCTGTCACCCATAGGCATTTAATAGGTCACATGGACATCAACAATGCCAATGTCAGACGACCAACCGAGGTGGTAGCACTTAAATGGGTTTGAATAGTGTTGATAGCCTGCAGGTGCCATCCTCTGAGTACCACTCCATACAGCCCCAGACTTTCTCTGACACCACTGACATTCTCTTGTTCACATCCACTCTTTCTTCCTTCCAGCTTCCTAGGAAGGCCCACTAGGAATGACAAGGAATGGCATACTCATGAAACACTTGGCCAGACTACAGCAACTCTCACCTGTACCTTCCACTTGAGATAACTCTCCAGGATCTTCCCCAATGATCCTACATTAGGGAAGAGGGTGGACTCAACCCTGGCAACTGCAGGTTCTCAACACTTGCCTGTTTCACATGTTAACACTACTGGTGACTCCTAACTGCCTTTGCTCCCTATGTTCCTACCATTGGGCTTTATTTACTTGTGTTGTCACAGGCTACCTTTCTCAAATTCTCCTGACAGTTCACTCTAGGCAACACTAGCCTAAGGATATGGAGATAATTTCCCAAGAAAAAGACATCACCGTAGGGGTGAGGCCTAAGGAAAACTTTAAACAGCATTAAATAGCAACCTAAAAGCACAAACCATAGTCACGCATTTGCATTTAAGCAAGCTTTTTCTCTGAAACTAGTCATCTAATAACTCAGGAGCTGGGGAGTATCCCATCTAGATAAAAGAATCTCAGAGCAAGGACATTCCAAGACTTAATCCCAAGAGACAGAAACAAATTAAGCAAATGGTTCAACCCTTTGGCAAAGAAATGAGGAAAAACCAGAAAAACTGGAGATTAAAACTGGTGTTTCTAACTGCACCACAACTAGGGTCAAGCTAACCCAGAGATACCAGGGTTCAAATGATGAGAAAGAGGACACTCTAGCCCCTCAGATCTCCTTGAGGACTCATGTAGACAAAAGGGACATTATTTTTCTATTTCAAAAGCTCTGGTACTTGTCTCTCTCTCCTCAGGATCTTTATGGGAAATCTGCTTTCATTTCACTTAGACATTACAACACACCTTCAATGTGAAATAAGTTTAATCCTGAGAACCTAAAAAAAAAAAAAAAAGGTTACTGTAACACCACAGGCCTCAAAACCAGCTGGATGGGGAAATTCAGCCAAAAGACATATGTGTATACTGCAGCAAAACCTATTTTGCAGGAGTCAAGGAAAATGGTCTGAACTGTCATATGTTCATGCACCCATGGTTCTCTATTAGGAAAGGAGACTATGTAATGCAAAAACAAATGATAATCTCTGCTGGTGCCCAAACTCTGCTTTTCCAAAAGAACACCATGGGATACATAGAGACCCTGCCTCAAAAACAAAAAACAATGAGCAATTGTTCCCATTCCATAAAGGGCCAGCGTCCATATTTTTCTACTTACCCCAAGTTACCAGAAGAATGGAACCCAGCCCTTCAGGCCATTCAAAGAGTGGAGCTTCCTATCAACCATCCTGTGGCACTCCCCTTAAGAGAAATGTCTAGACTACTGGTGACGATTTAAGTCCTTTTTCACTTACAGATTTTCAATAATACAGGAGCTAGGAAGCATTTCTGAGGAACATCCT